GGAGACAACATTTCAACTATAAAATATGACGTGGAATTCAACTCGGGAAAAGAGTGAAATATCGTCAACTGCACTCGACAAAAAAATTATTTGCATTTAGCAAATTTAGATGAACGAATAAAATTTCGGAAATTTTCCACATTAAAAAATGAGAAGCAATTTTTTGGAACTAATACATTTTGTTTTTTAATTTGTCCAGAAAATATTCACTTGTGAATGGAGAAATCACAAGTCATTTTTCATGTCCTCATAAATTATTCTGTTGTCATGTTGAAAGGAAAAATGTTTCAACAGGAAAAAATTCTCCTGTCCCAAGAGGATTTCTAACTGTTCGTGTAAGTCTTCCCATAAATTCATGAAGCTTGCGTTGTTTATAGAATTTAACTGGTTGTGAGAATTTGTACTTTCTTGACCTAATTACTCATCATCTCCAACTAAATAATTCTTACGATTGATTTGCAAAACAAAAAATATTACCTTAACTGAATAAAACGCTCTGAAATTTTAATAATTTATAATATAATTTAAGAAGTGAATTTTTAAGGCAATAAAATATTCAACTCTTAACGCAAACTCAAAAAATTTTAGTATGAAAATAAATTTTTTTCCTTATTATTATTGTAAAACTGATCACTCAAATTATTATCTTAAATATAGTGAGGATGAAAAACTGGTTCACTTGGGCAACATTTCACCCTGGAATGCTGTTGGTTATTATTAATGATTGAATTGCGTCAAGTCGTAAAAGACTAGATGAGATCAGACGTTTTTATCAAACATGACAGGGTTCAAAATTGAGAAATTCAAGGGGGAGAGGGATGGAATATTTAAAAGTCATAAAAGGCATTTCTTCTACGATTGAGGAGGAGTGGGGGCAAGTAAATGTGTCAAGTTTTATGGGCTCGTTAATTCAAATGAAATTCCAGTCGAATGCGTTTGAGAAAGGCTCGAGGGAGCAACATCATCACAAACGATAACTGAATATTTAAAATCACCAGTTGTTATTTATTAATGGAATTGAACCGGACGTACCTCGGACGTTCCCAGTGAATCTCGTGAGGGTCTGATCTACCGTAATGACCGACAAACTCCTCGAAACCTTCGTCAGACGCCTCTTCAACCGATCTATCCAGGAAATTCTTCTCCGTCAATTCTCTCCGCTCACGTCTGTGATCGCCGACATAAACTCTACCCGATGAACTGTCGTCAATAAGTGGCGCCGGTGCTTCCTCCACAGGATCATAATCTGCAATCAGAGGTGATCAGTATCAATACAGCTTTTTCATACTCAATACGAGAATCAATTACCGCACGCTCCGGTACATGGTTTCATTCATTTCTAAATCGTATTTGCATTGCTTCCGCGTGTGGTATGATCAATGCTCCTCGTTGTTGGGGTCTTTGGGAATATCAATAAACATTAAGAATAGATTTTCGTTATGGAGGAGCTAGCACTCGTGTGGAGGTCAGAAATATTTTAGTAGTCATCCGCTAAGTGAGATTAAACGAATTACAAATTTTTTTTTTATTCTTTTTCTTGTAGTTAATATTAATAATTAATTTTTTGGAGAAAAAGAGACTTTGCATATTTGCATATTTGCATATTTTCATATTTATCAATAGTTTTTCAGTTCTGGAATTAATTTTGTGAATTTTACGGAAGGAAACCATAAAATCTAGAATGAAAAAAAACCGTTGAGTTGTTTAGAATCAAGAAAATAATAAAATAGATTTATGTTGCTTTGTCACATCGTCACTATTTTTTGTTGTTTAAATTGTCGACTCATTTTCTTTCTGAGAAAAATTACAATACCGCGTCGCAACGGGGAGTTAATTCTCTTGTATAATTTGATATTAAACACCGATAGCACATTTTAAATTCGCATTTTTAATCCTTCCCCCCTGTTTATTGTTCATTATAAATCAGTAGCTGTCAAAGTGCTGGAGGAGAAAAAAAAAATCTGGGATTGAATGAAAATGTACAGCCCGTTGCGGTAGGTCGAGATAAGTTGTCCAAGTGGTACCCTTGATGCAATCGAAATGATTGCTTTATTACCTCCAGTGTAATGACCACAATTACGCCTCGTAGTGAGTATGAGTGTATTCGCAAGAGCATTGTTTCGTTCCTAAATCTCCACGTGCATTTTCTAGGTACTTTTAACCAGTTTCCTTTTTTTTTTCATTTCTTCAACGAAGGCCTCTCGTGGATCCGATTAGTCCCAGGTCTGATGTTTCAGGCGGAAAAAAATCGAGGGGGGAAGCTGAGTCCTGGTATTTCAATGAATCGTGGGCGGATAGTCTATCCTGGGAGTGGCTTTTATCATTCTAATTTCAATCATTATACATGACTAAATGGGATTACAGGGAGGATAGGAAAAAATCGGGGAGATAATGCATTCGCAGAAAGATTTATTCAGAGTCAACGGGATCGAAGTTCGAGTTTTTGCATCATTAATTTGATGACAGAAATATTGCCCTTTTTTTATTTCCATTCTTATCAGATATTCTTTATTTATTTATTTTTTCTTTGTAGTAATGTAAAAGTGAATTCCTTAAACAAGAGATTGTATTTAAATTGAATTAACTTTGAATTCTTCGAAATTATTGAATTTTAAAGAGAAATTAAATGGCTTATTTTTTTTTGTACAATTACACTTGAAGTTTCAAGTAGGTAAAGGCATACAATACCACCCTCACACGAGACCTAGATTTCACCATTGAATTTAACTTCAAGTCATTTATTATGATAGGTGCTCGTGTAGATGTATGAGACTTCTCACTCCTTATGTGCTAAGTATGATTTAATCGAAATCATACCAGCTCTTGGTGTAACCCAGGGTTCGCGACGGGGTCGCGGCTGGTATGGACCCCACCAAGGTCGGCGACCTAGAGGTTGATAAGGTAGCACTTTACCTTTAAGTAAAAAAACTTGAAATTTCTTACCACAACAGAGTAACATGAAATTTCTGTAGAATTTTTTAATGTCAAATCAATTAATTTTTTAAATCTTCTCTTTACATAGAAGAGGGGAAGTTTTTATAGCGTTCCCCATTTTTGTGACGTCAGAGGAGTCGTTGTATAGGATTTGGATTAGGTACGGAGGGGAACAGGATAATTCTCGATATAATTTTTACAAGAAAAATTACTGAAAAAATAGATAGTAACTAACAAAACCGTAAAATTTTTTTTTATTACAAATTCAAGCAACAATTTCGCTGAATTTTCAATACATTGGAATTTGACTTTGCCTTTGCGATTTAAATTTCAAGAAATTTTAAATGGTGTAGTTTAGATTGTGTGTTTTGGAATGGGTTTTGGTGAATTTAAACGAAAAATTTATTGAACCATCAGGGAAAATGGTTGGGTGGTTGAAATTAACGTAAGTTGAACCTCTTAAAGTTGGATTATCATGCCTCGTCTATTGGTATATCAGCCAGGTGTGGGTGGTATAAATCTGGGATGGTTGTACATGATTTCCTGGTGTAACTACGAGGTAGTATCGCGTGCTCAACAACACTCACCAGGTACATAACATTGGGTTATATACCCCAACCCCTGATACACGAACAGCGACACGATTCGCAACTATAAATACGCGTGTTAAAGTATATTTATCTGCCCACTGGCCTGACTCCAGTTGCATCAGCTACGGATCTATGCACTTTCACCCGGTACGTCTACAATTCCCCCTCTCAGTGTCTTCGTCCTCGATTCTACTCAAAAACCCAATTTTTTTTTTTTTCCAAAACCCCTCCTGCGTTTTCATTAAGTCCGCAGTAGACACCCACGCGTCATTACGCGAATCATTCCCACGAGAGAGTGAGAAATAGCCGCGATGATTGCCATTGCGAAAACATTCTCTTTGTGTCGACGTGTGATCAATGAATATTTTGAATTTCAAGCGGTTAAAGAAATCTAGGAGAAGAATGAAGGTTCATTACTCAGTTTTTATCCCTCAATTGATAGACCAAGATGAGAAGTATTCATATTGTCAATCTTTTTCGGCTGCTGGGGAGAAAGTCCTGTCTCTAAGTGGCAAATAATTAATGACAAGTCAATTACTGATAAATTTGAATAATTTTTGTCTTGTTATTCCCCAGAAAGTCCACCTAACTTCGTGTGGGTGTTGAAGATGATTTCATTAGAAAGTGGAGAAATTCACCCCACAGTCGTTAAATAGTAAGGAGTAGCGACAGGATTGTAAATTAAATTGAAAAACAAGTTTTGATTTTTAGGGATAAAATTAAATTTACTACTAAAAATTATCTATACATTTTTTAATGATCCCGAATATTGATTTCGAAACTCGCGATATTTTTATATATAACTCGGAATATATTTTTCCGCTGAATTTTTATTCCAGACAGAAAAATTATTACGTAACAAAAAATTATTCTTGCTTAAATATTGAAATTTTTTGAATAATTATTTTGTTGGTGTACATTGTTTGAAAATTACTCTTGAAATTTCATGTAAAAAAACTTGGCATTTTTAACAGCGACAAAGTGACATGAAATTTCTATAGAAATCTTTATTAATGAATCAGTTAATTTCTGAAATTTCCTGGTAATTCTTAATTTTGTAGTCCACATAGCACTGAATGAACGTGAAAATAATGAGAATCAAATTGTTCTGAATTATTAAGATAAAGGGAGAATTTAATATTCGTTTTTAATTGAAATGGAATGCAAATTCATTGAATTAAAAAACCAGATGACTTTGTGATTGAAATTTCAATGAACTTTGGACAGTTTAATTAGGGTAAATTGAATTAGAGGTTGGAGTGAATATAAGATATAAGAGAATTTGAGGAAGGAGTGATAAAAATGAGGGTAATTTGGAGCTGAATGCTCTCATTAATATAAAGCTAAGTAGTCAAAGTACTTCATGGCAAGCCGAGTCTTTTGTTCGCTCAATTCTCTTCAGTATCTCAGTGGAAACATCTCCGATCGGTCCTTTGTGAGGGATAAATGTGTATGTGTACACACACGGTGCTCAGGATGGCACAACCGATTGATCATGACCGGCAATCAGGTGCATTTTCCCGTCCGGCAAAAGACCATTCCCATCTCTCATTTAACTCTTGTAAATCGAAAACCACTTAAGACGGAATTCAATCCCTCCTGACGCGTCATTTCTCATGCAACTCCACCGAGTGAATGAGAAATGATTCATTTGTTGTGAGATAAACCGCAAATGATAAAATCATGTTCATTCATTTGGGGAGAGGGGGAAAATTAAACTCTTCGGGAATATCCGGGGGATAATTAATCGATTGTCGCTGCCAACGGTAAAACGGCGAGTCGTCAGTTGGTTTTGACGGGGCAAATGCCGTGTCGTTTCCATCAGGGAAACTCCGAAATTCCAACTTTACGGAATATCTCGACAGGTTTCTTGCGAAACTGGTTTTTGGAAAGAGTATCTCGCGACCTTTAACAACGCGTTACGTTAACTGTCCAATTGGATGTTTCGGCGAAGGCGAATACTTTATATTTTGTTGTTAACTCGTTTCATTATCTTGCAATTTTTTGTACTACAACGCTCTTAGAAAAAAGCAATAACTACTCCCAATTTTCTTTCTCGCTAGTTTTTTTTGGAGAATTGCACATTTTTCTTCCCTTTTTTTTCCACAACTCATTTTTTGTTCAATTCAAAAAAGAATTAAAATTTATATTTTACTGAATACCATTTCTCAAATTTCAACTCAAAGCAATTGATATTCCTTATAATTTTAGATGATATGTTATCTTTTCTAATAAATCAACAATATTCTTCCGAATGGTTACAAATTTCGTATAATATTTATCAAGTAATATAAAAAATAGGAACGACGACTCAATTACGAGCAAATGGTTTGTGCAAATCATATTTCTTACAACAATTATCTCGATACTTCTGAGATATATCTTCATAGAGAAAATACTTTTTTATCTAGTCGAATTATTTTTTCGGAATATCAAAATGAATATTATTTGATTAGATGCTACATAGCGATTACAACGGTACATAGATATTCAGGTGAAGATCTAAATTCATATTTTGTTTGCCAACCTTGAACCAATCTTGCACCAACATTCGACCAACATTGAGCCAACCTTGAACCGATGCTCGCCCAACATTGGATCGTTGGTTAAAGGAAACGATAGATAAATTGAAAGTGAACAATATTTTTTTGAGTGAACGTGGACAAACATTTCGGCAACATACATGGATACATATTATTCAATTTCCTAACAGAAAATTGGT